ATGCCCGCTTATCCCGCCCCCACACCCACTCGCTCCACCTCCATGCCCGCATATCCCGCCCCCACACCCACTCGCTCCACCTCCAAACTCCATCACTCTGCCTGCACATGCTGACACCATGACACAGCCACTAGCTGACAGGCTCTCTGAGATCAATGGAAGGGCTACAGACTAGCAGGAAGTGTGTAAACGGCACATGGAAATTATGGTGTGATAAATGGAAAATGTCAGCTTGTAAAAAGCTGTCACCCCTGTTCACCAAGGGCTGCGGTGTCGCGGACCTGCGGGAGTCGCTTTGCTGCCCCACAGGAAGAGAGGTGATGACCCTCCCAGGAGCAGATGGAGGGGGGGCAGGCAGGTGAGAAAGTGTGTCTGAAAGTTCCCTGGAGTCACGGAAACGCTGAAATTCTGCCTGCTATACCCCCCCATTAATGACTACCCTGCCCGACAGTGACCCATGAGCTCAGACAGTGCCCCATCCCCCACCTCATTAAAAACAGGGGGTGCTATTAAATGTACAAGCCGTCAGACCTATGGGATCAAGCAGAGAACCAGAGACACTAGGCAGTGACCTCACAATGGGGGGGTGGGTGTCTGCCAATGAGTGAGAATTTAAGGCACATGCCCCCCCCCCCACCCAGCTTGTATCCTTCCTAGCGTCTACAGTGGAATATACTTAACCACAAAATCTAGGACAAAGCAGGAACCAAACCACACAGCAAGACAACAAGGGTGGAGGTCTCCTGGTTTCCCATACCAACTGCAAGCGGGCCACATCCCATAATATCATCTACATGGAGACCCTTCTGATCTCCTCTCCTCTAATTGTGTAGAGAGTAAAGCCCCAAAGGGCAGCTAGGTCCCTGACAGGGAGTGAGGCAGCTCTCTGAGCCCCCCTGCCCCCCCCCCGTCCCATGGGTAATTAGGGAAAGAAAACTGAAGGCTGGGCGGTTTTTGGGCAAGATGATTAGATGGTGGCAGGCAGGGGTGGGGGATGGGGGACCAAACTCGACACTTGACAAGAAATACGCATGCACAGGGTTAGGGTGCAGAGAGACCCACACTCAAAGGCCCAGGGAGGGAGACAGAGGCAGAGAGAGACCAAAAGACAGACAGACAGGGAGGGACACAGAGAGACAGAACAAAGATGGAGGGATACAGTCAGAGAAAGAAACAGGGACACAGGCAGAGAGACACGGAGGGAAAGAGAGAGAGAGAAAGACAGGCACACAGACAGAGACAAGGAGGGACACACAGAGAGGGACACAGACAGACAGAAAAATGAGTCTCATTATCAGATGCACTGGACTCCACATGCAGTGACACTAGGCTGCTCAGCCACTGCAATGCCTCCCCTGCTATTCATCTCCCCATTTTCACCTCTGCCTTGCAGCTCACAATTCAGTTTATATGCAGGTTCACGAAATGATGCTTTTCTTGCCATTTGCGCGTGAGTACAGGTACGCTGGAATGTGTTCGTTTTCATATACCCTGTCTTGCTCTCCTTTGAGGCAGACACATATATACAGGTCAGAGTAAAGCTTATACAGGTACAGCCATTTATCTGGCTCCTCTGAAGCATTTTACAGGGGATAAGGAGCCTTGCTCAAGGGCCCAAAGCTCATGTCACTCATCTGCTTGGCACAGGATTTGAACCTGCAACCTTCCAATCACATGAACAGAGGTCTAGCCCGCTGAGCCACACGTTGCCCCAAAATAAACTAAGACATACACAAGAATGGCCATCAGGGATGGAAGCAGAGCTGGGCGATATGGCCTAAAAATAAAATCTCAGATTTTTTCAAAATAAATCCGATTTCCGATTTTAATCGATTTTCCTCTCCCCTACTCAAAATCAAACTACAGATGACAAATAAATGGTTCAAAACAAGTTTTATCTTTATTTTGTTTTTTTTTTTTACTTTAGGGTTAAAGTGCAATCTGACAAGCCAAAAAAGATGCCTGTAAGTGAGATGGCAGACCACGCCATTGTAAACACTTTTAGAAACTTGTAAAAACTTTTAGCATGTTAATGAATCCCGGCTTTTCCACAGTATGTATGGGCACCATGTCTTTTGCAATATACATCGCGACAGCATTTGTTAACGAAAACGTGTCAGGGATGGTTGCTTGCTTAACTTTGGATGTTGTGCTGGTGCAGCGGCTATTTTCATTTTGCTGGGAGCGGCACTTCTCCCACTCCGCTGCGTACCTCTGCTTTAGGTGCTGGAATAAATTTGCCGTGTTGCTTCCTTTGGTTGCAACAGTATTTAAACAGACTTTGCAACGAGGACTTGTTTGGTCTGTGTCCGTCAGCGCAAAACCGAACCAATTCCATGTTACAGATGTAGCAACACCTTTCTTGGGCACAAGCTCCAGCTTCTCGTCTGTCGTTGCCATGTTGTTTGTGAATCCGCTACAGTGTTTGGGTGAACCGCGCTAATTTACCCGTGAAGGACGGTGCGTCGCATTAGTTCCGCTTTTGGCGCTCGCATGTAAAATAAGTAATAAAATCGATTTTCATAAAAACACATCGTCCTGAACTGTAAATTCAAATTAAATCGATAAAATCGATTTATCGCCCACCTCTAGATGGAAGCCCGGGACTGGCACTACTTAAATCCTGGAGCTTGGGGCTACCTGGCGAAGGCCCACAGTGATCTGAGCTGAGAAGTAGGGGCCCAGCAGGGTGAAGCTACATGCATTGAAAAAGTCCCTTTTGGTGCAAATCCCCGCTACACGCAGCCCCCCCTTCCCCAACAAAGGCCCAATTACTGCAGCCTTTCAGCTGAGGGAGCCACAAACAAAAGAAGCCTGGATTAATCTGGGACCAGGGGGAACAAAGCTGAAGTACAAAACAGCACAGAAACAGATGGCTGAACTGGGAAAGAATGAGTGCAGACCAGCAGGGGGCGCTAAAAGGGCAAGCTATTGTACCTGTAAGGGGGTGCTTAAACTGAACTACTTTGGGTGGATAAGGGAAGGTCCCCATACAGCAGATAACGGTGACATGATGCCATTCATGATGCCATCTCAAAAAGACCCTCAAGAGGAGCCTCAATGCCACGCTGACAGACAGTGCACCCCCAAAGGAAGACTTTGGCCAGACACAAAGAGACAGACTCGAGCAAAGAAACACGCGACTGCTCTTACGAATCCTGCTAATCTGCACTTTGTTGTCCTTTATTGACACCAGGCCACTATGTAGCTAACATAACTGGAAACTCTGCCGTCAGCCATTCTTGATGATGGTTCACCACCCGTCATCCCCGGTGACCGGAATAGGCTGCTTCTGCACTCCAGGGGTG